CACTTTAAATATTTGTCATTCTCTTTCTCATCCCCATGTTGGCATCTATTGATTGTCTTTTTTCCTTCAGTTTGATAGCTTTCTGTTAAGTGATTTTCAATGACATTTTGGGTATTGCATTATGAGACTCTGGATCTTATTTAAATCTCTTTTAGCTGTTTATCTCTGATACTGTTCCAACAGGGAGAGAGGTTGCTGCCTTGGTACTGCCAGGAAGGAGTTAAGATTTTCCACTCTGATTCCAGTGACACTTTTTGGCAAAAGTACTGATGCCAAATCTAGTCTGGGGTGATATCACCCCAGCAGAGGTTTTGGGGTGCTTTTTATAACTCAGCAAATGTAGAAGTCATAGTTTTTAATCTGAATTTTTTTCAGCAATTATTTTCTAATAGGTTTCTATCTTTTTCTACCCCTTACCTGGTCCCATCGTTAGAGGAAACAAGATTTTCCTTGGGCTTTTTATATTTGCTCTGTTGGCATTTTGGGACTGCTGGTTTCTCTAGCACCCACTCTCAAATGCATGTAGAAAAGAGTGAAAAGAAAACACAAGGAACTCACTGCATTGCCCTTCCTTGTGTTCTGAGATCCTAAATCTGTTTGCCTTCTTTCCATTTTCAGTGTTCTTATATTTACTTTATATATAATATCTAGAGGTTTTATTTACAATTTGTGGGTATAGAGAAAGTACATGTATTCCATTTTTCTGTAAGCAGAAGTTCTATCCCCTCAGTTTATACAGCCCTTATGTATTTCGTATTAAGCGTATAAAAGCTTTGAGATAACATTTGTAGAAAAATCTCGATTTAGAATGAGTCTAATGAAAAAGCTGAATTTTTCCTTAATGTGTTATGCTGTATTTAATATCATTTATACTAATGTTAACACTAGCTCCTTGGACTAAATGCAAATTTTAGAATGTTAGAAACAACTCTGGACTGATAGAGACCTAGATTCTACTTCAGCATCTTCCACTAAATAGCTCTGTGACCTTGGGCAGATCTCTTGGCATCTCAGTATTCTTACTTGAATAAAAGGTTTTGGACTCATTAGATGATCTCTAAGTTTCCATTAGCTCTAACATTTTGATTTTCACCTCATCAATTCTATCATATTTTAAAAAGTCAATTTTCTGTAATACAGTTTGAAATATATTAGTTAAATCAAATACAGTCCTCAAAATTAGCTAAGAAAAGTAAGAACAGCTATAATTTATTGAATGCTTACTGTGTTCCAGGCAGTTTAGAGTCTTATAGATACTATCTCATCTAATCCTTGAAGTAGAGGTTACATTTGTTTTGTAGGTGAGATAACTGAGACTCAGAAAGGTAAAAAAGGGTTAAAAGGTTTCCAAAAATATTTTATTTAAAGATGCATTTGATTCTATATTTATTTGATTACATAGCTGATGTCTGTAACATACTTTTTAAAACCTTCTTATTGAGGTACAACATTCACACAGTAATATGCATAAATCTTAAAGGTACAGCTTGATTGAACTTGATGTTTGTATATATTACTGTAATAAGATCAAGAAATAGGCCTGGCGCAGTGGTGCATGCCTATAATCCTAGCAGCTTGGGAAGCTAAGGCAGGCGGATCATCAGTTCAAATCCAGTCTTAGCAACTTAGTAAGGCCCTAAGCATCTATTGAGACCTTGTCTCTAAATAACATAAGAAAGGGCTGGGGATGTGGCTCACTGTTAAGAACCCTGGGTTCAATCCCTGGTACCAAAAATAAGTAAATAAATAAAATTTCCATTACTTCATAAAGTCCCTTCATGCCCCTTCCCAGTTAATCCTTACCCTCACAGGTAACTACTAATCTGATTATTATAAATATGTATTAATCTGCACTTGCTAGACAATTATGTAAATGAACATTAAAGTATTACATATATTTTTTATTATTTTTGGCTTCAAGAAGCAAATTATTTTTATAGAAGTGAGATATTAAAGCAAAAGTCCTGGGTAGCTAAGAGATACATTTTATGTTTAACTTTTCAAATCATTTTATTTTGCTTGGATTTGCTTTTTTTTTTTTTTTTGTATGAGGGATTGAACCTAGAGGCACTTAACCAATGAGCCATATCCCCAACCCTTTTTGTATTTTATTTAGAGAACAGTGTCTTGCTAAGTTGCTTAGGTTCTTGTGAAGTTGCTGAGGCTGGCTTTTGAAGTCGTGATCCTCCTGCCTCAGCCTTCTGAGCCTCTGGGATTACAGGTGTACACCACCATGGCTGGCTTGGATTCTCTTTAGCAACATAAATTATAAACACAGAAAAGAGATGCATATGTTTTTTTCTATTATCCATATTACCGGTCATTTATTTATCAGATATAGAAAGATGATCTTTGAGAGGTAAAGGATACACTGAGGATTGTAAACCGTCATTCCTCAGGCATGAAAATTTATCAACTTTGCTTAAACTTTATGTCTCAGGAACTAGAAGAAACATATTAGTTTTATGTATAAATTCTACTCACCTATGGAGAATGAATAAGAACCACTCATAATACTTATTTCGAGCTAACCAAAATGTGGAGGTCAAGAAGAAATTAAGAAAGGAAAAAGAAAAGAGCAAATAGATAAATTTAAGTGTGTAAAAGTAATTTAAGTAGTTTAACATGATACTGGTTCCTGAAAATATTTCATTAAAACATTGTTTAGTGTTAAGTAAATTCAATGAATGTATATCACAAAATAAACTCAATACTTAACAATTTGTTGTGATCCTTTTTTCTTAGAATCAAAATTATATTGAAAAAATTAATTTCCTTAATTGAAATCAGTTCTATAAGTTTTTAAACATATTTAAGTGAAAAGACCTAAAGAGCTTAAAACATGGAAGGGTAAGAATAGCAATATAAGAAGCCCAGACTACATTTTACCTAATTTTGTTTTTCTTTCGTCATGAAGTTCCCCTAGTTTTCTACTTGTTTGCTCTGTGAGATTTTCTGTGTCAATCTGCAGGAGTATTCCAATGGAAGTTATTTTAATTTCATATTACTATACAGTCTCAGAATTACCAAGAAAACTAATTGTGCTGTAAAGAGTTGTTGCAATATCATTTTTTATAAGAGGTTGGGAAGCTGGGTTGGCTCTATAATTCTGAAGTCAAAGTGTGCTTTTCTAAGAAAATTATTTTCTCTTCAGAAAATTACCATGATTTTGGTAGGTAGAGAGGTAGAGAACTGGTTTGCAGTCAAGTTTTATTTTTGCTATAAACAAAACCCACTGTGTGGAGAGGGTGTTCTGGTGTAGAGAAGCATCTTTCAAATTATTTTGCCTTTAGTTTTTATTGAAACTAACAAAAGTTTATCTGCTTCAAACAAAATATTATCTAAATCCAATATAAGACAGATTAAAAACTGCTCAATTCTGAGTGGAGTGGAAGTATGAATAGGGGTAGAGCTCTGTCCCTTGGTCACCCCCACTGGTATATAAAGCATATTCTATTGATCCGCCTTAAATTAGGGCAGCATAATTTGAAAAAAAAAACAAAACAAAAAAAACAGTGAAATATAAAGATCGCCAGATTAGGAATCCAAAGACCTAGAGTCTCAGTGCTTCTATCATCAAGCTGTATTAATGAACCTCTGTGGGTCTAAATTTCTTCATCTGTGAAATAAGGAGATAGAACTAGGTGTCTTTTGGCTTACATAGTCAAGGGAACCATCAGAAACTATATGTAAATCACGAAAATTCTGTACCTTATTCATTGTCTACTGCAAAATAAGATGCTTACTGAAAGGTAAAATCTGGCTCAAAACTATGTATCAGGAGTTTTTTTTTTTTAACCTTAAAAACGTAAAAGAAAACTTGTGGGTTGGGGTGGAGTGGGGCTTAATGTTAGAACGAACGCTTGTCTAGCATCTGTGAGGTCCTGGATTTGATCCCCAGCACTGGGGGGGGGGGGGAATTACGAGTTCTGAGAACGTGGTAATATAAATGTAAAATAATGAAATCATTTTTTTTTCAAAGGAATTTCAATATTTTCTTTCTCATTCCATTTCAAATAATCAGTGGCATTTCATTAATTCATTTAGCAAATATATGGATACCCACTACCTGACTTGCACTGAGTTCAGTATGGTGATTATTAGAAGACAACAAAAGAACATTTACTACTCTCCCCTCAAATACAAAAGGAAATGAATTATTAAAAATGTGTTTCTTTCAACAAAATTTTGTTGAGTATATGTGATGTTTCATCCTTTCTAAATGATAAGGATTCTAGAATGCTGTAAAGAGACATGTGAAAACCAAATGAAATACGAAGTGATATTCTGACAGAACTATATGTTCAAAATAAGGATATATCCTTTAAGTAGAATGGCTTTGTTGTAATTGATCTTTGATCAACTTGAGCACAGTTCTTGTTTTCATAGTATGAAAGGCTTTGTTTTCCTGATTAGCAGAGTCTCTCTCAAATACCAAAATGGTTCCATTGCCCAGAGGAGCCAATCTCGCCAATGCCACCACATTACCTGAATGTTTACTGGTTTCTTGAGATGGATTGGAGTCAAGAGAGGTAAGAGTTTAGAATGAAGTTGCCAATAGAAGCCTTTGAGGATTTAGACGGAAATTGTGAAAGGTCCATCTTCTCTAGACATAAACCCAAATTCCCTAGCTGTGATACTAGTCAGTCTTTAGGGACATCTCCCTTTGTTACTCAGACTGGTAGATCTTTGAGCTCAACCCACAACTGCATATCCACTCAATCCCAAGACATAGCTGACATCCACCTCTTACTCTACACATGGCAACCATCATACGCCCACCCAACTGTTGACTCGCATTCAAGGACCACCACCACCACCACTACCAACAACAACCACCAGCCACCCCGGCACCATCTCCCAGCAACTGGCCTCTCCCAGTCCCCGCCCCTTTTCTGAGAGCACCCAATGGGTGGAGTCTGGGCTGCGGTGGGAGGGGCCTGAGGCGGGCACATTTAAAGAAAGGCAGAGGGCGAAAGAAGGCTAGAGAGGAGAAGAAAGAGAAACCAGGGGGGCGAAGCACCGTCCAATGACAAAGCCCAGGGGTGGGCGCCGGCCGCCATCTTGAACCGGGCGGCAGGATATCCACCCGCGTCCTCCGCCCTCGGAGGGGGAGGGGCGGAGGAGGCGAGAAAAGTAGCGAGAGACGCGCCGGGCTGGAGACGCCAGCAGCGGCCACCACAGCCGAGCCAAGCCAGACTCGGGCGGGCTCGGCGGCGACAGCGAGAGCAGGCGAGCGCGGGCGGCCTCGAGTGGCCTCCGATGCGGCGCAGCGTGAAGAGGCGCCGGCGCCGGCCCCCGGCCGCGGCCGCCCGGGGCGGTGGCTTTAGAGCGGGAGGAGGGGCCGGGCTGGAGGCGCGGGAGGAGAAGGTGGTGTACTCCCGGTCGCAACTGTCGCTGGCCGACAGCACCAAGGCGCTGGGCGATGCCTTCAAGCTGTTCATGCCCCGCAGCACGGAGTTCATGAGCTCGGACGCGGAGCTCTGGAGCTTCCTCTGCAGCCTCAAGCACCAGTTCTCCCCGCACATCCTGCGCAGCAAGGACGTCTACGGCTACGCCTCCTGCCGGGCCCTGGTGCCTGACCCCCCGGAGCCCCCTACCGCCCGCGGCCTGACGCGCCGGCCGGCCCCGCGCGCGGCCGCCAGGAGGAGGCGCCGCGGAGCCCGGGCTGCCGCCGCGGGCAGGAGGCGGCCCCGGCTGCCCCCGCCGCCTCCGCAGTCACCGCCGCCGCTGCTGCCGCCGGCCCCCGAGCAGTCCTGCCCGGAGAAGTCCTCGGCGCCCGAGCCCTGCTTCGGGGGCCGCACCCTGGAGGAGATCTGGAGGGCAGCCACCCCGACGCTGACCACCTTCCCCACCATCCGCGTCGGCGGCGACGTGTGGGGCGAGCGCAGCCTGGCGGCGGCGCGACGCAAGGCGCGCCAAGTCCTGCGAGTGGACCTGGAACCCGTGGTGAGGCTCCGCCGCTTCCCGGTGCCCCGGGCGTGAGGCGCCGCCCCGAGGGCGCCTCCTGCAGGTCCCCGGCCCAAGATGGAGTTTCTGCTTGGAGAAATGAACAAGTGTCAGTCGAGTGTTTACAGACTCCTCCAGGACCGTCCCCTAGTGCACTTTACGCGCGAGGAAGTCCCGGGATAGCTTCCCTGCCCCGCGCCCCCGGGATGCGGCCCCGCGTCTGGAACTCCGGGACAGGTGTACCCTCTGCCGCCTCCCCGCACCGCGTCTGCGACGGAGGAGACTGCAGGACTTACAGGGGAGGTCCCTTTGCTTCCGAACCCCAGATTGAGAAGTCTCCAGGACTATAGGGGCAGATTGGTTTTCTCCCTTTCGGACTCTACCTCACTGGTCTGGAAGTCCTCCGAAGAAGTCATTCTTTTCCAAAGGAATTTGTTTTCGTGCTTGTATAATAAAAGCCAGAATTTGCTTGCTCTTTAACCCCCGCCTCCATTTTTCTTTTTGACTGCCACCCCTCTTTCTGGACGGAAGATCAAACATATTTTGTGGTGTTGCACTAGTTTGTGCTCAGGGTATTCTGAATCCCACTCGTTTCTGAATTTTTACTGAATTTCAAAGCTTTGACCAAGGATTTTTTTTTTTTTTTTGAGAGGTTCAAGCTTGACTGTTAGTAATGCAAGAATTTATATGGCTTTGATTTTCATGGGCTCAGTGATTACAAACAAAAGAGATGTAAAGTCCAATTTCTTAACGTTTTAAAGGTGTTTCTAAACGATTTTATATTGAAGTTTAATGTTTATATTTACTGAGCTCCTAAAGCAAATGGTAGAATACTCATACAAAGTTTTGTTTATGAAAAGTCGACTTGTTGAATTCTTTTTTAATTGAATAAAAATTGAAGTGCATTGAAACCACATGGCTTGTGATTGGGGGAAAAAAGAATCGTGAAGAACTGGTGTTGGTTGCAGGAATGACTGGAATTCAATTGGAGATAATCTGGCAACATGTCCTGGTCAAACATAAAAATCCAAGAATGTTAATGAGAAGATAATATGTTTTAAAATTGAAGTCACATAGGAGAGATGAATGTGTGTAAACGTTGTGAATAAAGTGACAAACAGAATACCCATTAGAAACCTCAACATGATCTATAGAGAAGGGTGGGGGCATTTCTTGGTATCAAGTAACTGGTTGAAGTTACTTTGGGCAAAATAGATCCCTTTGTTTTTATTGTTGGATAACAAGAAATGCCAAGACTAGTATTCATCATATCTGTAAACATTATGACAATTAGTTGGCTTTTTTGTCCTGTGAATTTTCTTTTTTTCCATTCATAGTTCGTTTGCAGTCTTTGTTTGATAGCTGAAGGCCACAGAAATCAAACAGGCAAGCCACCCAGAGTACTGACCCTTATTTTACACTTTTGTAATAGTGTGTATACCATATGGCCTAGTGTGGAATTCTTGATTATCCAAGTGCCTTTGGTCAATGGTGGCAGCAAGACTTACTGGTTATTAGACAGTGGTGCCACAGCCAGCTTTTACTGCAATACCTAAAGGGTCAAGTAGTGTTTTTGTACCACAATTATTTCAAATTCAAGTATTCTGCCATGGAACTATCCATAATGGGCTGGAACTTGGCATGTGAAACCCTCAATACAAAGGTTTATCTCTGCTTGGCAGCTTATTAGGAGAATAACGAGAGTTGTGATTTTTACTCTTGTTTTCCTAGAATTCAAATGGCATAGCTCTCTGAAATAATTATTTTAAGTTTAATAGTCCATAGTAGAAATGTTGTGACTTTGATTTCAGTGTTCTTGTTTTGAAAAAAAATTATATACATACATATATATATATGACTTTATGCCAGTTTCCCAGTAAGCCTCATAGTCTTATTCACTACTCAATGATGATGCATCCTTACAAACACTGTCACATGGGTAAATAAAAAAGTGAATAATTACTTAGAAGATGGAGAGTGTTAAATTATAGTTGTATGATAGGAAGCTGAGACATTTTTTGGTTATTAGCTTCCATTGCCAATTGTATTTCATATACATAGGAGTTTCTTTCCAAAAATATATTGTTAACTTTTATAGCTAACTAGCACCTGAAAAAGATGTATTATACCATTTCACTATTGTATATAGTTTTATAATAATTTTTAAAGTAAATCCAATGGCCATATTAGAATGTAATTTCAACATGTAGCTTATCTAGATAGTTTTCCTGAGGATTTTGAAATTAGCTGAGAATAACTTTTCTCAGCACACAACTGAAACATAACCAGTGACACCTTGCATTTGTTTTAACTGATATTCTTGACATTTTTTTCCTCTTATGCCTTGTTACTTTAGTGCACTTGAATGTGTGTAAATGCTTTTTTGGCTTATTTGGGTTATCTGATTTCAGTTTGAATCTGATTGCCCATCTTGAAGTCAATATGGTTCATGTGGACTATTAAATAATGCCGTTTCTAGTTTGTGAAGTAAGATGTAAGAAATATTTTTGCCAAGTTTTCTTTAGCAAAACCTATCTTGCAACTTCTAAAATGTGGAGAAACATCTGATATAGTTGACTAGTATGTTAATAGGAAAGTGAAAGTATTTTATGATTACCTTTGGGCAGAGTGTGAAAAGAAACTTGGCATAGTGGCCTTTATGGTGAGGCATCCATTAATTGTCTCTGAAGTGAGTCTGTAGCTTAGCTTGTGTATAGTTTTTTTTTTTTTTTTTTTTTAAAGAAGTCCCATTTGTTTGTTCTCTTGCCTTCATTTATATCTCATATGACACAAGTAGAGGAGGAAGCTAGGAGGAATTTTATCACCTTGCTATATTTCTGTTTGATTTTTGACTTTTGGGTGCCTAAATGTGACTGGCACAACAAATAATCTTTTTGGTATTTTTTACATTCCTTCCTAACAACCAGCAACTCATTTTCTATGTCACTAAAACCAGTAATGTCATGATTGTGAGGGCAAGCTTCATCATTGATAGTGCAAAGTGTTGCTGTTGTGGCGTGTATTTATTTTTGTTTGAGTACTCTATTGGACAAGTGTAACTTAAGCTAGTGGCACATACTTGTTGATTTGCTATGAGCAAATGTTAGTACTATTTTTCAGAAAACTCTTCAATAAAATCTTTTAAAATCATTGAATAAAAAAAGTCTGAGCAATTTTGAACTCAAAAGGTTTTTTTGGTCGTTTTAAGGGTTGGGTTGCCACAGCACTCTTTAAATTGATAATTTTTAATGATCATATATACCTAACATTTGCTTTATTGGTGTGTTGAAATATTTTTTTGATAAACTGTTATGTCTTAATTGCACTAGAAAGCAATTGTTTGTAGTGGAACTGAAGTGTTTCCCTGGACAGTTTAATGTGCATATGATTAAGATTTACAATTTGGTTGTACTTTGCTTTTTAACTTATTAACTGTAAATAAATTTTAGAGAATACACAGTGTCTAGTTTTTCTAATTAGGTTGAAATTTTTTGAAATGGGATTTTGTGTTTACATGTAAATCAAAAAACAATTTATAAGTTGATAAATTTTGACTTTTGTGTACTTAAAACTCCTAAGAATCTCAAGATTTTTGTTTTGTGCTGTCTTGGGAGTCTATGTCCCATCAGTTCTTTAGTTATCTTGTGAATCTATTATGGTGCTTCAATTGCAAGCCATTTATGCATTCAGCCAGCAATAGACCCCTTTAAGAATGCATCATAATTCAGAATTCTGAATCTTGACTCCAAGTTCCTTTGTGGGATGGTAAAAAATCTAAATCTCCCATTCTTTTATATTGTAAAAGAAAGTAAGAGTGCTCTAAATGAGTAGCAGTAAAGACTGTTCTACAATTAAGGATAGAGCCAGAAATTTCATTGCAGTCTAGAAGGCAGAAGTGGAATATTAGCAAACTCTACACCAAGGGCAATTTCATAGTACTGTGTAGGCTGACTTGCCTTCATACCCAAGCTCTTATCAATAGATGGAAGTAGCAAAGTGAATAGCTGTGGTGTCATAGTGCCAGGACTGGAATTATCATGAGTGAATTCATGGCTCACAAGTGTTGGGACTCTAGGTAAATAATTATTTGTACCTTAGCCCCATTAGCAAATGTAGTTAATAAAATATTGAGTTATTGTAAGGATTGGAAGGGATGTTAATTCTAGAGACCTAGGAAGTACTTAATAAATACTATTAACTGAAAGTATGCATGCTGAGAATAAATATGTATACTGAGAGCAATCCCTTGGGAGTTTAGCTCTCCAGCTTTTTCAGCATCTCAAACAAGAACAGACTATGGTCTAGGAAAGGTATAAAACAAATTAAAATACGGTAATTCATAGGTGAATTAAATTGAAAACATAAATTATATTTTTAGCCCTACTGACAACTAAAAGAGGTTTTTAGCAGTAAGAGGTTAGATAAAATGGATTTAATCACAATTTTTGCTATTAGAATTTTTCTTTTAAAATTTTGATTTTATCATATCATTGAAAGACAGTTAAAATATGCCAACATATATTTTAAAGTGTCTGAGAATTAATCCAGGCATGGTGGCATGTGCCTATAGTTCCAACACTCAGTAGGCTGAGGCTACATTAGTCCAAGACCAGCCTGGACAACATAGAAAGACCCTGGATCAACAAAGGAAAAAAAAAATGAAGTATCTGAACAATAGATCAAAGTTGCTGGTCCAGGAACTTGTAAATATTTTGCACAAATTTTTCCTAGAGTAAGTTTATTAGGGACTGCTCAAGACCCTTGTTAATATTTATGCACAGAACCAACATAGAATTAGTTTTTATGAGGTTTGTGGTTCAGGTTTTAAAGGAAATAAGATAAGTACAATAACTGCTTGAAACAGCAGAACATTATTACTAAAAGTAAAAATATCCTCATTTTCAAAGCACTGACACACTCAGTTTTAGATGTTGGATATAAAGCCAGTAATTTAGCTCCGATTCCTCTTAACACAAGGATTAACAGACCATAGTCTAAATTGGTGAGCAAGCCAAAATTGAAGTATCTGAAGTTGACACACAGAATTTCTTGGAAAAGTATAATATAGAAGTAGTGAGGGTGCAAAAGCCTCAAAATTGAGCCTGATTGCAGATTTCACAAAAGCATTGAATTCTCGCTGTCAGTGCTCTCTTACATCTTGATAAATGTTGTAAGTTGTGATCTATTACATAATAAACATACCCAACTCCTGATTCGAAGGTAATGATCATAACACCAAGCAATATGATTAGCCCAGCAAATCTGAATAAATATCCTACTGGACTGACCTAGCTTCTGAAAGTACTCATAGAAAAGTTAAATTCATCCAAGTTGTAAAATTAACTATAAAATATATACATGTTACTCTAAAGATTTTTTCACTTATGTATTCTTTACATGTTTAAAAAGTATAGGAAAGAAAGGATGTAATTTATTATTCTAAATCTCACAGATTCAAAGAAATACAGAAGCAAAATATATGCAAAAGTACATATATTGTTAGAATTACATGTGTACAGTTTGATGAATTTTCATAAATTCAATAGACTTGTGTAACCTGTATTCAGATTAGCAAAAACATTACAAATACCCCAGAAGTACCCCTGAATGCCTGCTTTCTTCCCCCTACTCAATAACCATTATTCTAACTTCGTACAGCATACATAACTTTTGACTATTTTTCAACTTTATATAAATGGGATTATGTGTCATGTACTTAGTTTCTTTCATTTAAAACTATGCTTGAGTTCCATCTGTATTGTTGCATGTAATTATAGATCAGTCATTGGCATGTAGAATACCATTTGTGAATATTCCAAAATAAATGCATTAAATTCTCGATGGACATTTGAATAAATTCCAATTTGGGGCAATTATGAATAAAGCTTCAGTGAATATTCTATGATATGTCTTTTAGAGAATATATGCATGTATCCTATCCCCCCTCCTCTCTTCTCTCCTCTTCTCTCTTTCAGTATATATTATAGGAATGATTTGTCAGATCACAGGATTATAGCAAATGGTCACTTTTGGTAGATACATTTTCCAAAGTGGTTGTACCCATTTATATGAACTGTCCTAAAATTTGTCTTTTAAAAGTTTGCTTTGCAGGTGTTATTCTTTTTTATGCTTCCTTTTTTTCTTCAAAACCAAAGGAATTTTATTCCTTCTAGTTTTATCATGAAACAAAAAGACATTCTCTCCACCCCCATATTCTCTTCTCATCATTTTAAAACTGAAACTTTTAAAGAAATCTTTTACATATTAGTAAAATTTTTTACTTTTCTCGCTATCCTTTGTGCAAAACCAACTCCAAGATTGGGAATAATGTTGACTTTTATTAACCCAAGCCTGGTGAATTTAAATGGTTATAAAACTATGTGTTGAAGGAGAGGGACCTCACAGTGTTCCTTTTCTACCCCGTGGGCATGATTGCATTGAAGTAATCTATAACATAGTAGAGGCCCTGCCTACGGAAAGACCTTGTTGATTATTCTAGAAAGCAAGGCATTGAGAGTATTGGGTGACAGGAGAGAGAGGCTTGAGGTCAACTGAGAAGAGGAAAGGTTATGTCTTGGGCTGGCTCAGTGGGGCTCAATTCTTATGGAAGGAATGAAGAAATGTGCTCATGAGGACCCACATGAGAGATATTCCAGAACTTGAGAAGTGAATTGTTCCTTATTAAGTAAAGGGGCTTGGGGGATATTTATTTCACGTCTGCATGTTCACGATACTTCACACCAAGCTCACCTCTTTACATGTGTCTTTCTTCCCTCCTGGGTTGTGAGTTGCTCACTGGCAGGACTCATCTGTCTTGTCTTCGCATCACTACAACATTGTATGTGCCTGCCACTCAGTGATACTGAGGGAATGAATTGTGTTCATGGAATTCACATAAACCAGGAACATTGCCTTCCAAATTTTATAGAAAAAGCTGTGTTGCTTTGTAATCAAAGCAATTTGTAATTGAGGTATGATTTTTTTTTTTTTTAACTGAAACTTATCAAATACACTTACGATGAATTCCTAGCATTTTGTGATCCAATTAAGTAGCTGAAGAGTTTGACATCTCTTGTGATGGTACGTGGCAATACCACTTGATGATCACTACTTCTGAGTCCCTCAGCCAGAGGCAGCATAGTGCAATGGTTAAGATGCTGGCCCCTGGAGCCAGGCCGCCTGGTCAAAATCCTTTCTTCCTCTCTTACTAGAAGCAGACCTTTTGACAAACTACTTACCCTCTCTGTTCCTCAATTTACTCAGCTGTAAAAACAAGCACAATATAGCACCTACCTCATAGAGCCCTTATGAGAATTTAATGAGGTAACACATATACAACACTTAGAATAGTGCCTGGAACCTGGTTAGCCTCAGTCAATAAATATTAACTTTTATTAGTAGTAATGTAAAAAAAAACTTTATAAAGTCTCAATTTGTTTACTTGAATTTTTTATATTGGCAGGTGGTGAAAGCAAAGGACAACAGCTATAGTCCATAAAATGTCAATTAGTCAAACTGAGTTGGGAGGATGAGGTCAAATTCACCAGTAGTGGCACATGCAAAAGGATGCTGTGTGTCTTGTGAGGAACACACAGTTGTCCAAGACCCAGTACAAACCAACAGCCAAATGACCAGAAAGACCAACTAATCTCATTCAATTCCCACCATGCGTCTGCATTGTTGGCACAGTGTTGAGCATAGATGCCTTCCAAATCCCACTGTGCTCTGGGTACTCTACTTGCCTGTTTTTCTTTAAAGCAAAGCTCAACAATCCTATGAGCTTGGTATTATCATTTTTACTTAATAGATGCGTAAACTAAAGCTTAGAGAGGTTAAGAAATGTGCCAAATAACACACATCTAAGTAGCAGAGCTTGGATTTGAAGTCTCATCTGTCTTATCCCACACACTCTACTAATTCTTTTAGATATTTTTAGAGGAATAATATAAATTAATCAACCCCTTGAGAAACCTACTTTCAAATCCTACGGTGGGAAAAAAAAAGATTATTTTAAGAGCCCTGTTTTGTTCACCTTTTGTAGTTCTTATGGTGTACGGCATAGGTGTTTATTTAGTGTCTGGAAAATGAATAAGTATGAGTGAATGAGCTAAAGCAGTAATTCCTTTGATCTTGTGATTAGATTATTTAATTTGATGGTGGATGTCAGGGTACTCTGGCTTATGGTCCAAAGACATTTCATATGTCTTCTCTTCTAATTGCCGCTATAAGTATAAGCAGTTATTTGTCATAACATTTTTCTCAAATTACTTGCCAGATAATAAAATGCAGACTTCATAAATTGAAACTGGAGGGGTCTTATGTAATTTTCAGCTCTCATGCCCTCTGGTTGCCAGCATATAGCCTCTAAATCAGAAGCTCCCACTCTGGACACCTTCCATTTTGGGTAGTATCCACTCTGTGGATGGCTACAAGACAAAGTTAACAAGCTCCTGAGGA